AAAAATGTATTATTAGCTACACGAAGTATTGTCATTACATAGTGACATCCACGAACTAACATAAGTCATGTTGCAAACACCATAACCATCATATTCCGGTGTACCACTTGCCGGAATTCCATAACCTCCGGCGTTGACCAGTATTGACTTAAAAAAATATTTTAAAATATTATTTAATTTTATTTATTTTTGCTAAATAATTAAAAGTAATTACATAATTATTTTTAAAACAGCAAAAATAATTACATAATTTAGCTTAAAAAAAAAAAGAGAAAACGGGGAACACTGCTTCATCTTCTTCCTTCCTCCCTTCCAAAAATTTCAAAAACATCTCTATTTCATTATGTTTAAATCAGGTTTCAAGAAGAAGATGAGGAAATCGAAAATCACTAAATCCGGGTTTAAGAAGAAGAAGAAGAAGAAGAAAAAGAAGATGAAGAAGAAAGCAAAGAGAATAGGCATAAGAAGAACCCAGATTTTGTTAGGAAACGGATGTGTTTGTGTTTTCCTAAATTTTTAATCGGTTCCTTTGTTGAATTATAACGAAAATTTCAATTAGTTGTCAATTTATTAGAGATTTTAGGGTTTTGTGAATTTGGGGATTTTAAAGGATTCACAACAAGATCTCATCGAAACCACAATCATCATCACTAAAAAAAGCGAAACTTTAAGACTCAAAATATATGGATTGGATTGATAAGAAACGTAATTAAGAATATGAACACCAAAGAGAAATTGACTCCTTTTAAAGACTATATGTAGTCATATGAAGAACAGATGATAAATTGGGATTTTAGAGGATTCAAAAAGCTCAAAGATTTTCCAGATTTCTCTTTGGCCACTCCCATCGACGCATGATCAGATTGGATTCAAACCGATTCAAAACCATGGGTAATTCAATTCAGGGAATTTGACAAGAGAGGGATCTGATTCTTACATAAGTATTAGATCTCATCAGAACCAAAATCATCGTCATCATCATCCAACGAAGAGCCATGGGTTCATGTTTCAGTGGCTGATTATTTAATTATTTTTAATTATCTATCAATATTACTTTTAATTATTTAGCAAAAATAAATAAAATTAAATAAAAATTTTTTAAGTCAATACCGGTCAACGCCGGAGGTTATGGAATTCCGGCAAGTGGTACACTGGAATATGATGGTTATGGTGTTTGCAACATGACTTATGTTAGTTCGTGGATGTCACCATGTAATGACAATACTTCATGTAGCTAATGATACATTTTTAAAGTCTGTATGTGTGGCTATGTGTTGGTCTCTACTTCATGTAGATGAGAAACATTTTTCCTAAATTATACTAGTAGTTTATTAAAGAGTGGCTATTAAAATACCACATTCAAAGTTTTGGATAATGTGTCGTGTATTAATGTGTATGTGCAACTATGTCCACTAGGTGAAGATGAATTATAGGATACTATTGATCAACATTATATTAAGTAAGAATCGATTCTAGATATCGACACAGCTTATTGCTTATATAGACTACATTTTGTGCTTTGATATATATACATGAATTTGGTATTGGAAACTGTATCCGATCTCATATTAAAAAAATAAGCCATCTTCACTTGCTTGATTCTTTCCATTAAACACCAATAAATATCATGAAAGGAACCTATTTCTATAATTAGATGGCTACTAAGGTATTATTGTGCCAGGAAAACAAGTAGTCTAACTAATTATTTGTACTCATACATCTCTTTCCTGTTGTTAAGAGTATATGGGTCAAATCAATATAAGAGTAATTATTTTATAGCCAGGCATGCATAATTACTTCAACCAGTTAAAAGTTGTGATATTTCAGTGCTCTTAGATCCCTAATCGAATAGTAGAGTGATTTCTTTAGTGAATGATGTTTAAAGTTTGGTGGACAAAAACAAGTAGGTTATAAAACTGAAGAAACGATTAGATATCCAAAAGTTGTTCATTACTTTCTGGTTATTAAAAACAATTAGTCGGTTGCTTAACGTATTAAATAAAGTGCTTAAGATGATGTAATAACTTTTTGCATGTGAATCATTCAAAATTAAGGAATCTGGCATACAAAATGAGGAAGAGAGTTATTATATATATGGAATAAAGTCGTCGTCGTCTTTTAGTATTTTGTCTTGGTTGATTTGAGGGTTTATGTCCTTAGATGTACTAATCACAAAAAGCTTGTGGACATATCACGTGCTTTGTTCCACAATGTGCTGTGAACCAGGTGGGGTTTGTGACTTCTTATCTATTAATTTTTTTTTAATTTAAAATACTATTGTTTGCTAGTCATATAAAATTAATTGATTTGACCTTGGAAGTACCGAGGAATATACTATTACACATGGGTATTATAGGTTTTGCTTTCAAATATTGTACCATAATCAATATCAAGCGCGTTACCTCTATGTCCATATACATATAATATGATTTAATTCTTTGCTCATTTTTCAATTTTATGCATTAATAACAATTTGTGATTATTAACAACAAATTATATAGCATAACATTATTTAAAGCTTACCGCAGATGATATTATGGTAAACTTCATGCAATGTCTTGGTTGCTTGTGTTTAAACCATTTTGTTATCATTACCAAAGATTAACTAATCAGTGTTTTAGAAACGAGAGTATGTGTGGGTACAAAGTTAGAGATGAGCCACCATTTTGGGAAAAATACTTTTTCAAGTTGGTACATATCTACATCAATCACAAGATATATCGCTAAGACATGATATATATACACATACAGTATATGATTATTACCACTCATTTCTGCGAATAAATCTTATAATGATTCGTGGATCCTAGATTCCTAGTGTGTAAAAATGATTTCATATTTGCATAATTACATCAAAGTAATAAACAGCGTGAATGCAAAATAGACACTGTGGTTAAAATCTTAAATTGTGAAATGATTAATGTTAAATCAGGTAATTGAACTAATTTCATTTCTCTAATATTTCGAGAGACTATAAATAGGATTATAACCTTCAGAATAGACTGTTGACCAGTTATATAAACATTTTTTCTTAGATAAAGATATGCGTAGATAAAATGCACCAAACATACTTCACCCGTTAAGATGAGATTAATCTATATATAATCTCGTAATCAAAGAAAAATAAAGGACAAAATTAAGGGAAAAAATGGCAAAAGAATAGACAAGTGAAAAAGAAAAGACAAAGGGAACTAAAAAAAGATAGAAAAGGGAACAAAATCACATGAAGCAATTGGGTAAGTGACTTGAGTGTTAGGGTTGATAGGGAACCAACTAAGCAAAATGCATTTTAAATGCTAATAATAGTTCACTAAGAATTAGTTACAAGATAAGTGTGTATTCTTTCACGTTAAGTTTCATAGTTCAATTTATCTTGTTCAATTATTGGCACATGATCCCACTTATCACCCACCCATCCAACATTTGTTTAATTTCACCATTAATTTTTGTGGGACTTCTCTTCTTTGATTTTGACTGCAAACATTACATACACATCTTTGCAATTTTGCATAATTATATATCATTTGAAAAGAAATAATTAATAATTACATAATCCACTACGGACATCAATTTATGAAATACTATACTATTTATTTAATGTGATTTTAGAAAACTAAGTAACAATTAAACTACAAGCTTCCTAAAAACATTGAAAGTTTAAAGTTAGATAGTTAAATGAGGCTAAGTCAAGATTCCTTTCTTCATCAATCATCATGATTACAATTACTTATAACTATTAAAATTTAATGTCACATGCGACGGATCTAAGATTAGGGATCGGAAGACCCAAAATTAAAAAAAAAAAGTTCCAATAACAATCCCTATTTTAAAGGTCATCGCTCATCGGTCTTTAATTGACGTTGGTCTTAGTTAACACCAAAACGTAAATGCTAAGTTTTATGATTTTTAGCTCAAAAATATCCTCGAACCAATATACGTAATAATCTCCTATATATATTACTTTAGGTTCCAATATACCAGAAGAAAAATCTTACTAGTATTATTCTGGAGTTGTGCCAATCAGATGGGCCTTAACTCTCTAAACCCATAAGTAATTAAAGCTCTCAAGTTCATGTACCTTGGAGTTTGTTAAAATCTCCTTTTCTCGAATTTTCCATAAAATAATACTTCTGTTCAACACATGGGAAAAAGAATGTAACCATAATATAATAATTTGAAGAGAAAATATGAACAATTACTTTGCAAATGTGGGGTACAATTACAAATTACAAAAGACGAAGTATGGAAACCATGTAAGAGTATCATATGCTTTCTCTGCCAATAACAAATGATGCAACAATTTTTTTCCTTATCTTTATATCATCCCTGCCAACAATAAATTGATGTTCAATGTGTAGTGAGCGAAACAAAAGTTGGTTTTTTTTTTGGTATTTTAACATTTTAAGAAAATGTTTTAATTAATATTACACCTTGTTTTTATTTTCTTTGGCCTTAAAAGCGTTTTTGTAAACCAAACTTTCATTCCTAATTGATCTTCACATTCACATATTCACACTTTTAAGGTCGATGAAAATAATTTTTGTACTTAAAAAAAGGAGAAGGGGCGCAAAATGTAAAAGCAATAGAGAGATTCAAAGCGAGATTGAGATTTTATTTTGATGTCGTCATTGCCATCTTTCAACATCACTTAAAATCTTCAAAGAAGTCAACGAGGAAATCTCGTCCGTAGGATGATGAAATCGTACAAACTGACTCTGATTATGATGATCCTCAAAGTCATGGGTTCACACAAAAATGTGGTTAGTTTCTTCTTTCGTGTCAGAAATTTTCAAAAGAAAATGCGTCTCATTATTCTCGCCTACTTTTCCTCTACTTAGAGAAATTGTCTACCTCATGCATGCTTTGAAAAAAAAAAAAAAAAAAGATTCTTCTTCATGCATGTCCATGGAATCAAGTAAGCCCAAAAGTATTCCAAGGAATTCCGTAAGCCCAAAGAAAGCCCATATAAGCCCATTTCAGAAAATACTTTTCTTATGTTCGTTCTCTCATTTCCTCTGAGTGCATATCCATTTCCATCTGTTTCTCTTCCTTGATTTGCGGCCAATCGTAGAACAAGAAGTAGTGAGCAGAAGATACACTACAGAGACAGAGAGGTAAAAATCAATCCTTTAGATCTCTCTTATTACGTGTCTTTAATGATTCAACGATAATCTTTTTCGGGATCTTCTTGCTCATCTTTAATGATCTGATCTGATAAACAAAAAAACATTTTCAAAATCTAGATCTTGACAAGATGGGTAAAGCAAGAGGAGTGAACAATGGTGTCAATGAAAGTTCTCTCGGTTATCTCTTTGGTTCCGGCCAGCCTTCTTCCGCTGCTGCTGCCACAATGGGGACTACGACTACAACAACCACCACAACTACCACCGACGGAACCGGAGGGAGACCGATAACCACCACGACGACCACAGTCACTGATAACAAGAAGACATCTGCAGGTGTTAGAGGAAGTCCTAATAATTACTTCAGATCAGAAGGCCAAAACTGTGGAAACTTTCTCACGGTAAGAGGAGATCTTTACAATATTTTGAGATGAAAGAATTGATTTTTGATTTGGAAACTGATAAAAAACCAAAAATGTTTTTGATGAGAACAGGACAGGCCATCTACTAAGGTTCATGCAGCTCCTGGTGGTGGATCTTCTCTTGATTATCTGTTCGGAGGACCAAGTCCTGCTGGATCTGGAAACAAATGAAGTTACTTGTAGTTTTTTTCCCACTATTCAGATTTGTGTAAATCATCAAATGTGTGGCTTTTATATCCCTTTGTGAACCATGTGTGATTCAATTGTCATGTTTGCCTTTGATCTGTTCTTTGTGTTGTTAAAAGGGATTTTCACACAAGGTTCTCTTAGTCCTGATCAACCTAGAGATTGAAATCAAATGAAACAAACAATGCCAACTAGTTCTTGCGTTGATGTTCAAAGCTCTAATCAACAATTATAGGAGAAATGATTCGAATTCAGCCATAAACGTATTGAATATGTTTCATCATAGAGTAGAAACCAAGTCAAATCAACGACCAATTGTAGGAAAAAGGATTCAACTATCATAATTCATATTCATGCATTAAGCAAGTCTAAGATTTAAACATAGCAAAGTCACAAAATCCTTAACAAAAACTAAAACTTTAGGGGTCAAAGACCACAATTCCAATACAAGAAAAGCAATTAGGAAACTCGGACGAATCTGAGTCACAGCAGTGAACTCGAGAGGGCTCTAGAACCCTAGCTTGGTACGGCGCCAGTGCCTACGCTTAGCGTTGTACCTGCGTGAAGGTGATGAAACAATGGAAGTCAGTATCAAAGTCTGCAACTTTTTAAAGGATCCAATGAAAAATGTGTAGAAAAATCTATAAACCTGATTCTGTTATCGGTACGAAGACGGATCCAATTAGGGATCGGCCTGTTCTGTCTCATCTTCTTCCCTAGCTTCTTCTTAATCATGAACGACTTGTGCGACGGCTAATATCAGAGACCATGAAACCGAGCAGGCGAGGAAAAGGTTAGAGAGAGAGAACAAAGGATAGATACAGAGAGAGAGAGGATAAAAGTACCATCTTGACTTCGACGGTGACGATCCGGCGGAACACGGCGGCGTTTAAACCCTAATCTTCTCAAATGTTAACTGAGGAAGAGATTGATTTTTATAAGGGTTGTGAAGAAGAGCTCGATCCTGACCGTTGGATTTTCTTATGATTTATTAGCCGTCAGATTCTTAAACCGTTAATGTTAGGAATCGTATTCGGTTCCGGTTCGCTAAACCGGAAAAGATAAAGATATAGATTAGGGTTTTCGTTTTCTTCTCTTTGCTTGCTCGGCTGCTGAAACAAGTTCTGATTTTGGGATTTTGTTCTTCAGCGCCGCCGAGAAGATTCGAAACCGGAGCTAAACTATGACGACGATCGTTCCCACTTCCGAAGAAGATCCCTTTCTCGCTGTTGTCCGATTCACTTCCCAGCTCGCCTGGGCCGATGCTGGTCCCGAGGTACCACTCCTTGTTTGATAAATTTGATCTGGTATTAGAAGAATCTGGTTGGTATTAGAAGTTTGTGTAGATATTCTGATGCATAAGATTAGTTCAACCATCTGAGATTAGTCTAAGTACGCTACTTCTTAAGCTATTCAAAGCCTCTTCCTTGAAAATTTGTGTTTCTTTTTGTTAGGCTGCAGAGCCTGAAATTACCAGGCTATGTAGAGAGGCTGAGGAGTCAATAGTTAAAGAGAAGTGGCTGGAATTGTCTACGTTAATGGTAACTTCAGCTGAATTGGTATCATCCAAGATTTCTGAGAAAGGTTTGTGTTCCTATCCTTTTTTTAACCATCATATTTATACCTGTTTATTTTGTATGTTTCTCGACTTTTCCGAGTATTCAATTCTCAGTGGTTTGCATCTTTTCTTATTCAGATCTCGAGTGTACCTACACCATCATTTGCAGCATTGTCAAGAAGGTTGAAAGCCCTGAGGATGTTCTTGCAATTGTGAAAGCTATAGCTTCCGAGGTTGCTCAACAACCGAGTGACAAAGCTTCACTTCGTTTGAAGATGTATGAATCTTTACAGCTTATTTTTGAATGCTTTGTTTATTTCTCACACACACACTTCTCATTTTCTTTTTTTCTGTCATTGTGTAGCCTCTTTAATCTCTATAACCTGGTGGACCATCCGTATGCTCGTTTTCAAGTATACATGAAAGCTCTTACACTAGCTGTTGATGGGAAGGTTACTGAGTACATAGTTTCTTCTTTTAAGAAGATCGATAACTTCCTGAAAGAGTGGAATATTGACATTAAGGATCAGAGGGAACTCTTTCTTGCCATTGCCAATGTGCTGAAAGAAAACAAAAGGTACTGAAACATTATTTATACTTTATAATCCTGCTCATCAGTCTCTCTCTCTCTCTCTCTGGTTTTGTTTTGTTTCCGTTTGGGTATAACAATAGCCTCGTGTTTTTTTCTGTCAATACTTCAGCTTGGTGAATGAATCCCTTAAGTTCTTGACGAAGTACCTAGCAACTTTCTCCAATGAGGATACTCAGGTCCTGGATGAAGCCAAGGAGGAGGCTGTGCGTGCAGTTATCGAGTTTGTCAAAGCTTCCACTATTTTTCAGGTATCATAGTGTGATTCGGATTTGTCTTTCTTGTCCTGACAATACTCTTTTATAAATGGAATTTCAACGATGATTATCTTAAATCTTGCAGTGTGATTTATTGGACTTGCCAGCCGTAGCACAATTGGAAAAGGATGCTAAATATGCTCCGGTTTACCAGCTTCTGAAGATCTTTCTTACTCAGAGACTAAATGCCTACACGGAATTCCAAAATGCAAATCCGGAATTTCTGCAAAGCTATGGTACTAAAACGTTAATTCATTAGCTGCTTTTGCTGAAACATGATTTCCTGATGAATCATCTGGTGTTTATAGGACTTGCTGATGAAGATTGTGTTTCGAAGATGAGATTGTTGTCACTAGTGGACTTGGCCTCAGATGAATCTGGCAAAATACCTTACGCCTCAATTAAAGACGCTCTTCAGGTAAAAACTCTCCTCTGCTTGCGCTAAACATGAAATATTGGGAGCCTTTTAGTTTCTCAGTTTCCTTTGTGTTTTCAGGTAAATGAAGAAGATGTTGAGTTATGGATCGTGAAGGCAATAACTGCAAAATTGATTGATTGTAAGATGGATCAGATGAACCAAGTTGTAATTGTCAGGCAAGTCACACATCTTTTAAACTCTGGACTTATCTCAATTTCCTCGCAACATTCATTATTTGATGGTTTGATTTATATCTTTCAGCCGCTCTTCCGAACGTGAATTTGGGACAAAGCAATGGCAATCTCTCCGAACAAAGCTTGCGACTTGGAAGGTAACTACAAAAGCTTTCACTTCATATTACTACAAAACATCTCCTGAATCTGATTGTTATGTGTGGTTGTGTAGGACAACATTTCAAACATAATAACTACAATCGAATCGAATAAGGTAACCGAGGAAGGTTCTCAGGCATCATCATCATCTGCTGCAGCAATTCAAGGCTTGTCTGTTCGTTGAAAAAGCTATCAAGACCAACCGTGTTCATCCCCAGAGAAGCTCAATTCTATAACGAATCTTTTGTCTTCTTAAAGCTTGTTCTCTGTGTATTTGCTTGCAGAGTTTTTTGATCTTTGAATCTTTTTTGTCCCTGAAACAATGAGGAGACTTGGTATACATTATTTTTCGCTTAGTAATGTTTCTTATTTTGCTGCTACACCCACTGTTTCAATAGTTAAGACTGAATATCTTTCAGTTTTCAATATGGAGACGATGAGCAAAGAAGTAGTAGCCATTATCAAGGGGATTTAGTTAACAAACTAAAATTAAAGCGTTGTACAGGAAGAGGACAGACGAGGGAACACTAAGAACTAAGCTACCAATTCTCTCATTATCAGTTCAAAAAACTGCATCATAAGCTACATTCTACACTTAATGATTCTTACAAGTTTCCATGTAGGAACAGAGTCAGTAACAAGGCGATTGCGGCAAACAGAGAACCGATTGATTTATGCGAGCCGGTATTGGGCAGCCAAGGGTAAGAATCAGGAGGAGGCATCACACAGTTATCTCCATTGAAATAGATTCTTCTTGGAAATGCCCAACCTTTCTCAAATGTGAAAGCTGATGCTTCTTTTTGGAAAAGTAGCTCAGATTGTACATTACCAAATGGTCCAGCTTGCATCAACAGATCATTGTAGAACTTTATTCCCCAGAGAATCCCAGTATCATCTATACAAATCAAAAACAATAACACATCAAGATTTGTTCCTTTCTATGGAAACAAGGAACTGATTGATGGTGTACTTACTTATGGAAGCATAAGGTGTCAAGGGTTTATAGTTGAAGCTAAAAGTCTGAGTGAGATTGTCGAAATTCGGATGCTGCACGACAAGATTCCACTGTGAATAGTTCATGTTGTAGTTGAAATTTGTGATGGTGACTTTAACTCTCCAGTACTGTTTGTAGTTGACCTTCACATGCCAGTGGATTCTAACTGGACACATATGCTTTGTACATTGGACCAGGGGTGGTATATATGCGTTCTTCCCCGGATTTGGAATGACCGATGCTATCCGTGGACCTTTTGGGCTGTGTGTGGACAGACAAGACACCAAAATTAACCAAACAAGTTAACAGATTTTCAGGTAATGAAACTATGAAAGTTATGTGAAGAACTTACTCTACACAATTCCCTGGCTGAGAAGTGTTTCGGCATCCACAAGAGCATGTTGGACAAGAAACGATTGTGCTGTTATAAAACGATGAAAGCGATACACAGCAAGTAGGAGTTTTCTGAGCCAAGAACTGCGAGTATGTGCAAGTTACATTCCAAGTCACTGTCACAGCAGAAAAAGGAAATCCAAAACTCGGTTTTAATTTCTCTCAAAAGTCAAAACAAAATTTTTAGAGTTCAAGAACTGAGTAACTTACTTAATGCTTGTGTAACTCTTCGTTTGTCAGTTCCGATGAATCTAGTCGGTTTTACAATCTTCGCGGGACTACAAGTATATCCCGGTCCAGGAGCTTTGAGAGTGAAATTCTTAGGTACTCTAACTGTCTTATTTGTGGTTCCAGCTTGTCCAATAGTAAGCTGGAAAGCGGAAACAGCGGTTGCGGAATCTTGAGCCCACGAGTTGAGCACACCGCCTCTGCAACAATTAGCAATCTGCTGATTGTAAGGAGTTCCAGGTAAGAGATCAACAACAGAAGGTGTCTTTTTACAGCAATGAGGAATGTTTCCTTTGAATTTCGAACAATCTCCTTGTTCTGTGGTTTGCCCTCCATTCATCCCCCATATAACCTCTCTCTTTGCCCATGACCATCCAAGAGTCCAACCTGGAGCTTGAATGTGTCGATATTGCTGGAAATTATATATCGTTACAGTCGCCTGCACCACGAAAAAATCCAAGATTTTAAAAAACACAATCAAGATTCAAGAAATGCCCAAATTTAAAGCTAATGTATACATACCACATAGCCATCTCCAGTCCAGGTTATGATATCCCATTTAACAGTAATGTTCCCAGTCGGGTCCAAAGGATCATATGCTTCTGAAACAATCCCAAAAGCAACACCATGAGCACACAAAATACTGAAGCTTTTTTGTTTTCTTGTTTCAAAGATTCTCTCTTTCTATAATAACAGAGCATTGAAGCTGAAATGTCAAAAAGATCTTCTCCTTGAGGCTAAGAAGCTCCTTCTAATCCATTAAACGGCTTAACATACAAAAGAACTTCCCTGTCTATTTCCATATGTACCCAAAAGCTCAAGCAATTCCAAAATCCAAACTTAAAGAACTCAATAAACAACACAAGCTCCTAGCAAATTTCAAAAAAATAATTAAAACATGGGGAACAAAGAAGGAAGCAAAGTTGCACTAAGACTCAGATACGAAATAAAACCCTAGATAGTAGATATGATAATGAACAGAGAAAAGCTTGAATAAAGATAGAATCTTTCAGCTTACCTGAAGGAATATAACCAGAGAAAGAAACTAGAAAGATTATAGAGATTCCGAACTTGAAGAAGATTGAAGAAGAAGAACACAAGAAACCCATTTTTTCTGAAGAAAGAAGAGAGAGAAACTGTTCTTCTTCTTTGATCTTTAATCTTAAAGTCTCTGACAAGTGACAAGACAAGGATGAAGCTTGAAGAAGCTCGACGTAATTATACAGTAAAGCAAAAAGCTTAGGAGATATGCCAAAGTTGTTAACAAACAATGAAACAAGAAATGACCAATTAGCTTCGAAATCTTTCTGATTAATCTTCAAAGTATAATGAGTTTTAAAAAACTCATAATTGTTCATTGAAAATGGAGAAATCCAGCTTTTTTGGGTTTTTGTGTGCAGAGAGATTAAGGGAAGATTAATGAAAGCCAAAAGAAGGCTGCTTTAGTGGGGGATGAGATGGTTTTTTTTTGTGCCAAGTGTAATTATTTGACTTAATGCACAAGCATTAATGCACTTAGCTAGCATTTTTTTTTTCAATTTCAAACATTCTTATTCACATTTATTATTTTACTTATTCGCATTTACTATTTAGTAATCCAATGACTTTTTGAGAGTCTCTAGACAATACTAGACTAGACAATTAGGCGTTATTAAAGTGGGCCGATAAAGAACGACTATTGGGCCCGTTTAACCCCATCCCATACAAGATAAGATACAACCATAGCCTTTGCTAGTCTTGCATTGTAGGTGACAAAGTAAAGTTTATCAAAACAACAGGAATAATCAGTTTTGCAAAATCTCACAAGTCACACACAATCCTATCAAAATTGACAGTAGTACAACCAAACATGGGTTAACTTCTACAGTTGAGATGGCTCATTTGCATCACTGTCTTCGCGCAAATCATGCTCATCATCACCACCATTGTGATCCTCATCTGATTCAGGTCCACTAGCATCATCATCATCATGGCCATGATCAGGTACACTACCATGACCAATAATCCCGCTAACTCTTCCTGACTTGTTTGCATATTCTTCAAGGGAAGTTGAGGGAAACACATCACCAACCTTGCTGCTATCACTCCTTGTCGCTTCTTCATCTGATTTGTTCGGTTTGTTATCTTTGTTCATCTGTGTCAAGCAAATATACAACTTTAGGACCAATCACACAAACATACACATTTACAAATCTCAAACACTCTTCAAAGTAAGATGTAACTCTCTTATCAATTTGGAAAAGGATGTATAACTAGAGAAGCTTACAGCGCGTAATAGCGTCCTTCGATCCCTTTCCCTAGCATTCTTGATAGTCTGCATCTCATTAATAAAAACTCAGTAAAAAAAAAACCCAAAAGCTTCTTAGACTAGATAACCAATGAAATAACCTCATCAAGCATCTTCTGCTCAGCTTCAACCTCGTAAATATCTCTGTGAGAAACAAATACCTCTACATTAGCTTAAAATCTTATCAAGGAAACCAGTATCTAGCATTAGTAGAAGAAAGACAGTCTGCAAGGTCCAAGTACCTTCCAAGGATTTGATCAACACGTGAACAACACTTTGCACACACCTTCTGCTCCTTGGCACAACCTGTTGTCCGTTTCATACTCAGTTCAATACTATAACACATCCTCACTTACTCAAGATACTGACTTATTCGTTCTTCTTTGTCAAGAAAGTAACAACAACAAAAGCAAAGAGAGAAAACACTAACCAGGGCATAACTTATGGTATGCTTGACGAACATTTCGCTTAGTACACTTCTGACTGCACCCAAAAACAAAAGGTTGCTCTTTTAAGAAAATTAACACAGACAACAAACAAATCAATTCGATTCAGATTTCAAAGTTCAACAGAGAATGAAAAAGAACACTCTAAATTCAAATCAAACGATACCATTTGGTGGCTTCAGTTAGGGTTTTGTATTTGCCGTATTTGCGTTTCCAAGCGATCTGCTCTCGACATCGATAACAAACTCCGGTAATCTCTGATAATGGTCTAAATCTCCCGCCGACTTCCTGAAAACCAAAAATTTCAGACAAAATCAAGGATCTAACTACACTATTCACTCAATTTCGTTAATCTCATAGCAGAGCAAATAGTTTACCGTTTCGTTGATCTTGACGCCGGCTTTAGGAACCCAGGCGAATTTGTTCTGATGCTTCGGTGGTCCCTGCCGTGAGCCCATTTTCTATGAGCTGTGAATGTAGATCGGAGAAAACAGAGGTAACGATTTTTATCTGGAAGAAGAAGAAGAAGAAGAAGCGAGCGGCGCGAAAAGAAGAAGGACCAGCCCAATTAGGTTTTTTTTTTTTTTTTTTAACTATTACGTAAAACAAAAAGTAAAAAAAAAAAAGTTCTTAAATGGAATATGTATTCTAATGGGCCAATCCATAAACTTTTAAAGCCCGTGTAGCTCCAAATTTTTTGAGGTGTCAAAATGTCAATTGTCTTAGAAAAATATATATATATATATATATTTTTTTTGGTAAACATGTGAAGAGTCTTAGAAAAATATGTTTACGTTAATGTTCCATTGTTTAATTAATAAAGTGTGAGATCTAGCTATCATATTAATATGTTACTTATACTTATATATGATAATGATTATAGGTTCACGTTCCATTTATATAAAAAGAAAAGAATATGTTTTGTGGATTTTTCACGATGCATGCAATGATCATACGCAACGTGCTTCGACGAGCTCCTCACGACGTATAAAATCAAACTCCAATGATTTTTATTGTTATTAGATGTTAATGAATTATCTTTTGTTAATAATATTTGTTATTTCGTGAAATGCACTGGAATTTCCCTTTATCAAATCCAACTGCCAACATATAATATAAAGAAGAATTTAGTTAATAAGTTATTATCCGTTTGTTTTATCATTAATGTACTAATTCGTATTTTGTATATTATATTTAGCATATTATTGTATATACGAACTTCTGCCACTAACTATAAGGAATGTTTAAATTTAAATAAATTTAAGATTCAGCTTCCCACATGCGAATGTTCCTTCGTTACATAGTAAAGTGGATCGAGGACAGTTTTTAATTCATTATTCCCGTTAGTAAAAGTCTAATTACATTCTCTAATTAACACCTTTATTGATGTTACACTCCGGTCAAAAAGTATTCAATTATTGTTCGGTTTTTGTATCCCCCATCTTTTAATTCTCACAGACGACTTTTTTTGTTTGTTAAAAACGCACACACAAGAATTTAGGTACACTTATGGTAATGTAACTAATTTAAGTAAAAAAAAAATTTGCTAGCTGAAAGATCTCTCCTTCAAAAGGTTGGCTAGACCGGCCAAAATAAAAAAAAGAGGTTAGCTAGACCTACTGTTCCAAACTGTTCAATTTCCTCTAAGTCTAAAACTAATATAAGTAGAAAAAAAAAATTATTTAAACGAGCAAGAAACACAACTTTTTAACTTATTTAAGCCTTAAAAGTTAAACCAAAACAAAATTCACAATTATACAATTAACAATAAATGATCAAATCTGAGGTTTTGTATTTTTGTTGGTCAACATATATAATATTGAACATTAAATTTTTAGAAACAAAATTATTTTGAATCTTTTTCACCTTTTAATTAACCAAAATAAGTTAGTTTCTAAAATGCAAATCTCTTGACAACAATTTTTTTTCTTTTCTGTTGACTACAATTTATAAAACCAAAAGTGTGATTGAAACAGATAAATCCATATTCGTTCGTAGGTATATCTGATAAGTTAATATAATAATTAAACAATGTTATCAAAAGTATGGATATTCTTAAAAAGATTCATATTTTTTGTTGTTGTGTGGAGATAAATATCTACAATATAATATCCTGTAGAAGATATTATAAGCTTCTATTTTTACGGGAAATTAATTAACTAATGTTTGCTAAACCAATAAGACAAATTATTAATAGGGGGAAAAACCAATTTTATTGTAAAAGTCCGAATAAAAAGATATTTGCTTCCGCATAGAAAACGGACAATTAAGAGACAAAATAGTAAAGTCTTCACTTCCTCACCATAACAAGGTTAAAAATTCTTTAGACCTGGTGAACGACTTATAATCCACCACGTGTCAAACCTCACACAAATACCTCACACGTGCCAACTACTATAAAAACCAAAGCGACGGTCTTCAGAGTCTCCCAACCCATCACCTCCGATCTCAAATCTCACATATTTCTCTCCAATTCTCTTCTCTCTGAATCAATCAATCATGGTTGAGCCGGCGAATACCGTTGGAATTCCGGTGAATCACATTCCATTGTTGAAGGATGAGCTCGATATCGTGATCCCCACGATCCGTAACCTCGATTTCCTGGAGATGTGGAGGCCTTTTCTTCAGCCTTACCATCTGATTATCGTCCAAGATGGAGATCCATCGAAGACCATTGCTGTCCCTGAAGGGTTCGATTACGAACTCTACAACAGGAACGACATCAACCGTATCCTTGGTCCTAAAGCTTCCTGCATTTCCTTCAAGGACTCTGCTTGTCGTTGCTTCGGCTACATGGTCTCCAAGAAGAAGTACATCTTCACTATTGACGACGATTGCTTCGTAAGTTTCCTCAATTCCGTTTATAGATCTGTTTTTGTTTCTTCATAAATAGGTTTAGTTTTTGAGATCTAGTGATAAAGTCTGTGGATTTAACAGATCTTTGATTTGAAAATTCGATTACAATTCTCTACGTCAACTTTGAGAAAAACACTGTTTTGACCTAGATCTATATATTTGTCTGCTTGATGGTTTTCGATCTGTTTTCAGAATTGAAATTGTATTAGATGTTTGCTGGAATTGTCATCATCTCTTAAGTTAAGGTAATTTGAGTGGTGTAATTGTTGTTGGACCAACCTATTTATGTTATGTCTTAACAGTTAACTTCACAAGATTCTTGCATGTCATTGTCCTGCACATTTATGTTATGTTGTTGTCATAAGGCTAAGGCAAAGAAAAGTCTAAACTTTATTTCCTCTCTTTAGGGATTAGTGGTTTTTTTTTTTTTAAGAATTGAGCAGTTACGCCATGATTGTAGCATTGATGTTGTTTTCATAATGTGTTGGTTTAATCATGTGTAACGTATTGTTCTTCATGGTCTTTTCTTTTTCTTATTTTTGCTGGCTCTAGCTGCTTTTAATTATTCCTTTCTTAGAATTTAAATATTATTTTGTTGTTGTCATGTGTTATAGGTTGCCAAGGATCCATCTGGAAAAGCTGTGAACGCTCTTGAGCAACACATCAAGAACCTTCTCTGCCCATCAACTCCATTTTTCTTCAACACCTTGTACGACCCATACCGTGAAGGTGCTGACTTCGTCCGTGGATACCCTTTCAGTCTCCGTGAGGGTGTTTCCACCGCTGTTTCCCACGGTCTGTGGCTCAACATCCCTGATTACGATGCCCCTACCCAACTTGTGAAGCCTAAGGAAAGGAACACAAGGTAGTATTTTAGCATCTTCTTTCTACATTTTTTTCCGGTTTTTGTTAGCTAACAATGCTTAAATTGCTTCACTATTAGGTATGTGGATGCTGTCATGACCATCCCAAAGGGAACACTCTTCCCTATGTGTGGCATGAACTTGGCCTTTGACCGTGAGCTCATTGGTCCGGCTATGTACTTTGGTCTCATGGGTGATGGTCAGCCTATTGGTCGCTACGACGATATGTGGGCTGGATGGTGTATCAAGGTACTTACTTCCCCCATTCTCTTCCTTACTTTTAACGGATTTAAATGTTATTTGTTTACTGACCTCCCTCTTATGGTTCTGTTCTTCAGGTGATCTGTGACCATTTGGGATTGGGAGTGAAGACAGGTTTGCCCTACATTTACCACAGCAAAGCCAGTAACCCGTTTGTGAACTTGAAGAAGGAGTACAAGGGAATCTTCTGGCAGGAGGATATCATTCCTTTCTTCCAGAGCGCAAAGCTCACGAAAGAAGCTGTGACAGTTCAACAATGCTACATGGAGCTGTCCAAGTTGGTGAAGGAGAAGCTAAGCCCCATTGATCCTTACTTTGACAAGCTTGCAGACGCTATGGTCACCTGGATTGAAGCTTGGGATGAGCTTAACCCACCCACTAAAGCTTGAGCAGCAAAAAAACCACCACCGCAGTTTTGGTTATTAGCTCAATCTATCATCTATCTTCTCTGTTTTGTTTTTGTTTTATCTTTTCTCAATTTTCCGGCGATTATTCAGTTCGTTTTTAAGTCGCTGGAGTTTATTCAAATAGTGATGGTGTAGTTCTATTTATGACCGAGACAATCTCTCCTTTGAGGTTTTTCGTTTTTGTTTCAATAATAAAATCATATATCCCTTAGTCTTTGGTGTCTTTTGCTTGCTGGTTTGTTGACTGTTATTTTGGATCAATAGTTAAAAGACAGGAAACAGATTCCAATCAAATCAAGCCTTCCTTAATCATATTTGATTTGGTTGAACCCAGTTGGCAGTTGGTGTTTTGCTGTATCCGACATGTTATTGAAAAAATGAAAAGACCCCAACATCATTATTAAAAGAATTTTGGAAAAGAGATGATGAAAACAACATCATTATGTATCAGCAAATGATTTCGTATGCAATCCTTTGACACAAAAGTGGACTTTACTGAGTATGCCTAGAAGGCTAGAACCAACATCCTCTTGTATTGTGATTTGGTTCTTTTACTAGTCTTTAACTTAAGACACATAACTTCAAGACCTCTCAGGTTTAGGAACCCCAAGATCCACCCTAGCCAGCTAGATTAGAGGTTGATGGTTGATCCATGAGCTTGACAATAAGGTCTCCTGGCATCACGATTTTGAGGTTATAATCTGACATAAGTTCGAGTATGTCTCTCAATTTCCCCCAGTCTTTGTCTTCAGCCTAAAAAAGCAAAAAAAGAAAAACATATATTGATGACACGCCGATAATGACAACATATGAACAAGTAATGTTAACCTGGGATTTGGTTCTTAAGTCAGTGATCTCTTTCCTCAAGAGATGTAAAGGATATAAGCTTTTAAGCTTAAAGAAACATATAATTAAGCCGGACTGCGGGAATATACTGGCATGTATCGATAAGCTCTTCCACAAATTCTGCATATATAAATAAAACCTTTACCTTTCAAAAAGATGGGAAGAAGACTGAAGACTGATACAAAAACTACTAACCTGAGATCATATTGTCGAGACCAAGTGATTTGAAGAGTGTTGGAGCCTCTTTGTAATGAGAAACAGAGGAGGCGAGTTGAGCAGTCTCATCTTGATTGATGATTGAATTCTGCAATCTAAATGTCACAATGAATTGCAGAAAAGCCAACACCTCGAGGGATGATCTTGGAGTTTCAATTCTTATCTTCCCTTTCCATAGAATTGCCAGCTCTTGGGCCTTAGTGTCGATGTGATCAGGCTTAACAGGCAGGTTCTTCTTATATATTAGTCTTATTCAAGTCATGGATACGTTTCCAGCGCTGCTTCTCCGCGTCAGGAACCTCATTCATAGTTTTCGCCACTCTCTTTTGGAGTTCTTTCAATCTTCTGGATTTCTCAGTGATATGTCAACCTCTGCGAAAGGATCCTCCTGCTTTGTTCTCCTCTTATTAGAGGATTCCTCAACATCATCTTTTCTCCTTTTTTTGGCTGCACCAATCTCTTGATCTGGTTCAACCTTGGGGAAGAGTGTTTGAGCCTTAGTAACAAATTTCTGAGCTCCAGCAAAATCACCAGCCCCCATTTTTACCTCTGCTAACTTTTTCTCCCTCGAAGCCTCTTCTTTGTTGCAATCCATTGTAGTATCCGAAACACAAACCTGTCAAGTAACCAATAAACTCATAAACCCTAAAGGTTCCTAATGCTAAACCGTCACACTAAGACTATACTTAGTGCTTAACGTTTCAGAGACTAGAATAGTGAGATATGTGAAACAATGCATGATTACATCAGTGTCAAGAAACAAAATCCACCACAGAGACCATAAATGAAAGCATTTTTTGGGCACAATTTCAAAGAAATGACCATACTGTAGTGTGAAAATGAAGCGTTAGAGAAGTCTGAAACGGAAACAAAAATAAAGCTAGGGTTCTTCGTTGGTACCTTAGAATACAGGCATTGGTTGGATAAAGCTAGGGTTTCCGTCTACCTCTGCAATTGGCGCTCGCTGAAGAATCCTAGCCGTTGTTGTAACTGAGAAAGGCTGAGTTGCTTAATGGGCTTCTTCCGAAGAGTGAGACCCATTGGGCTTTAATCCATTTAAGGATTAAAGTCAAACACGTATTTTCCCTCGAAAGACTTTTTATTTTTAACACCAAAAATTGGCAAGTAGCTTCTGATAATTTGGTGCTAATCAGCTTCAAAATGGACAGATAGATGCAGCTCATGAAAAATAATAATTGCTTTTATGACTTTGTTTTTCTTGTTTTTAATTACTAGCTAGTTGTGCCATCGGTACAAAATTTAGCACTATACATTCGGTTTGTGATAACTAACATATGATATTTTGTAATAAAAATTACTAATTTATTAGTATATAATTAGAAATGAAACTATGAATGAACCAAATGCCATTTTATACATACATATACGTATGGAACTATTTCTTGCCTAGCTCTCGTCCACTTGTATGTTCAGCAGTCCAGTTCTGAAAATGATGCTACAACTCGGGTTAAAAGATGGAATATATCATGTAACAATGAAGAGAAGTTTAGGGTTCATTTTCTTATTCAGCTCAGAGACGTCTTTGACAAACGCTTCCTTGATGGGGTCGGAGCCATCCATGTAGCTGGCTTGTTGGTGGAGTTGCAAAGAAATAATTAGCATTGACGTTTCTTTGTTTCTTAATTAGTGGACACTTGCATGTTTTTATTTATATAGTTCCGGTTAATTGCTGTAGTTTAACAGAAATAAGTACTGTTTATAATTATCATTGGCAAGTAGTTGATATATAATTTGGTGCTAATGATCATCTAAAAATGGACAGATAGATGGAACATAATAATTGCTTTTGACTTTCTGTTTCACCATAGCATCTAACTAATTTTAGAGAGAATATTTCATTAGTGAACAAATTAGCACTGGTCGTTAGACATCTGGTTTGTGATAAAATATGATTTTTTTTTAAAACCCAACCAAATTTATAGCTTTTGACTTTGATTTCCTATTTCTATATATACACACTGAACGTATCCGCCAAAAACATATGGTATTCACTCACATAGGAATTTCAAAACCGTAAAAGAAATATCTTCCTTTTGGGATCTTCCGGAAGATTAATTAGAGATGAAGAAGTGGAGTTATGCGAAGTTAATGACCTCAGTTTTATTGTTTCTCTTCGTAATCATTCTTCTTTTGGCCTTTCATGGTTCGACCTCTTGTTATCTTTTTTTTTTTTTTTTTTCTTTTCTCAGATAACTTTTTTATGTGATAGACTGAAAGTTATATGAGAAATATATGCATTTAGGAGGATCAACAGGTGACAATCATCAGTATGTTCATGTGGCCATCGGAGCTAAGGATTCGATGGGACGAAAGGTATATTGTGTACAATTTACACAAATAACAACTCAAACCGAATTAAAACATGTTTATCAATTAATAATAATTAACAGTGCTTTTACTAGTTCAGCAATCACATATTTTGTTCTTAATGTTGTGTATCCATATATACAAGTACATTTTCCTATGTGAGAGTGATATCATGATTTGTTTTCACTTGCAGTTAAAACATTTGGAACCAAAAACTGAATCGTTGAAAATGATCAATCCAAAAAAGACGAACGAGTTTGAGTATTCAGATCAAGTATCCAATGATTTATTAGAAAGAGAAGTATTTTTCGATACTATGGCTACGGACTACCGAGGCCTAAAAAGAAGAAAGCCCCCCATCAACAATTGACGGCTGCGTAGTTGTCATTGATAAGTGTCACGTTAAAGTTAATTTACTAATTAACTTTGTAAAATAAACGAACTAAAAGTTCTATTATGATGTTTTTATACATATTTAATGACTGATCATCTCGTATAAGTATTATAAGTGTTTCTAAGGTGTGATTGTACATATATAATACAACTTTTCACACCGGAAAGGATTACATATGAAATGATGCAACGAATGTGATTCTAATTTAACAACATATTTTTCTTATTCTAAAGTGGCATACACACCAACAAGGCCACAAGGATTGAATCGGAGGACCCGCCCTCGTGTCTCAAAAAGAATATAGAACCATACTGTTTCGTACAGATTTAATTAAATATTGTACTACAAACTAGGCATTTTTAGCAAATCAATGCTTAAAAGATTTTTGGAACTACAAAAGTAGAGACTTTATTTAGAAACCCTAAGCAGTAACCAAAGATTAATATTAGCTTAAACTCCAATGTTACTTTAGGGCACTTAAACTCATGAAAACTTCCCCATGCCTCCTTGCGTTCTTCAAGAAAAATCTTTGTCTTTTAATTTATACTCTTTGTCGGTAGTCGGTACCGACTTTCTGGATTTACTATTTTAGGTTCTTTATTTTTCGCTTTCCCATCTAAATATACGATATTCTTTAAATAATTTTACATACTTTTCTTATATAAACTGTTTGTTAATTACGTTTTATATACCATTTGAATAAGTTTTTAATGTAATTCGTATTATATATTCTATATCTCTGCAATGAAAGGTATATAGCATCGTCTTTATTTTGATTGAGATAGAGCTGCGACACAATCGTAAGGAATTATTTGTAAATGTTAGCAGAAAAATGGAGTATTAATTGTTTAGTTCGTTAACTTTAATAATTTGTTTGACCAATCTTCCAAATGTTGTTACTGGAAAGATTTTTATTTAATTTTATTTTATTTTATTTTATGTTGTTACGCTATAGTGTTTACAATTACCGATGAGAAATGCCTTTTTGTCTTGCCTATGGAACTGTCTGAAAACCCTAGCTAGTTTTCACTTTTTCGGATTTCAGAAACATCTTATATAAATGAGCTTCACTCACATCAACTAAAATCCTAATCACTTCTTTAATATCGACAAAGACAAAAGAGATGAAGAACACAAAAGCAAAGTTGATCACACTTCTTCTAGGGTTTCTCTTCCTCATGATGATGATGATGATCATGAACTTTCATCATGCGCTTCAAGGTTCGTACATTGACAAAACTCTTAGTTTTCTATTTATTTATTTTTAGGGATATTCTGAGTTAGATGATAATAATGATTATATATAAACTCTTCCTTTGATGACGATGACGATGATATAGATGCCGTAGTTATGCGTGTGTCTTGTCGATATACCTAGACGTATAACGTTGTAAATATGTGAAGCTGATGTTGTACTTGGAAACTTATAAGTGGAAATATAGATGTAGGTGGATCCAAATATGAAGATTATGGTCTTATAGCGAGCGGAAGTGAACATCTCTTGAATATGGGACGAAAGGTACACAAATAATCTTTTTATTACTTTGGGTTGTCGTTAATTTCTCTAGAGTTTAAATACGGGATATATACTATAGTTGATATGATCTGGATGTTTACTCTGAATAACTAACTATACAAATATCAGTGAAAAAGATTCATATCATTAGCATATTAATTTTCTTATAGATAATCACATATATTTTATCGCAGATAAAAAGTTTAAAACCAATCGACTCTGAAACAAAGAAAAGATCAAGAAAAGGCTTAGTCTCGACAGATTCAGCAAGGGAAATCGATAATCTAATGAGAAGTGACTATCCTTCACGCATGAATGGGAGGAAAAGGACTCCAATTCATAATTGATCGCATATCCTCATTAAGTAGTTTTCTTTTCTTAATCAAGTAGTTGAAGAAATTAACTTTTTGTTTTGGTTAACAATATATGTGAGAAGAAGATGCTATAGGTCTACATAAATGTATGTGTACAAAAATAAGGTTTTGCTACTTTGTTTTTTTTGTTTGCTTCAATCAATGTATTCTTACTAATTAATTAGGCTTATATATACATTACAAATGGTAACATTCGTTTATGCTTAATGACTGCATAAACATGCAGGTTCATCAATATGTTTTGCCAAGACTTGACTATTTAATAACTAATACCATAATATTATTTTCTTAAACAGTTTACGAAATCACAATAATCTTTTCAAAATTACAAACGCAAACAAATTCCAATAATGTTGTTTGAGTTGTGTGTTCGTATTTATAATTGTGTACCATGAAGACCTCTCAATATCATTCGCTTCTTTAGGGGAATTGTCGTATTGATTTCAATCTTCCAACGGCTATATTGATTTCTGAGGAGATAGCGATGGATGAGACTGGAATAACAATCACGACAAAAGCCTCGGGACCAAAGGATAAAGAATTCGATATCAAGGACCTTTATTGTAATAACAAGAAATAAACTTCTTTATTATTTATGGCAATCTAATATTCTTTTCTCATACAGCCGAATTTAATTTTTCAATGATTACAAGGAATCGATTAAAAAGTGAAAAACGTAATTTTCTTTTTTAAACAATATATAAACCTGCCTACCAAAAAAATAAATAAACCATAAATAGAAACTGTGACCCTAGTTAAAGGACTCGATTTTTTCTTAAATTTCTATTTAAGGTTTATATATTTTTTTGACAATCTAAATTTAATTTATTCAATAATGGCAAGAGAATAATTATTTATTTTGTCAAATAATAATAATAATATGTGTGACATAATTTTACACTGCATTTTTTATTTTATTCTTTAGCTACCAAAACTGCAAGGCCATGGATGATGATGATGGTGCCACAGGACAAATTTGCAAACATGACCATGAAAGCTTCAACCTTTCTTCTGCATCCACTGAAGCTCTTCAGATATTTCTATACACCAAAGAACCCTAAATGACTTCTCATCTGCTTAAGAAACCCAATCTTCAAGATGGATGGATATATCATCCCCCATTATTCATTCATCCATGTCCTGCATCACCCCGCGAAAGACAACAATGGAGGATCTGTTCATATGGTTTCTTCTAGTGAATTGCCATTATTCTCATGTAATAGCTGAAGACATTCATATGGATTGGCATAGAAGTAGTCTTCTTCTTTCGGTCTATTTGGAATCACAAGCCGTCTCTTTGGCCCTCCCATTCGTGTAGCGTGAAAGGCCTTAACCGTGGTTGAAAACACTTCCCAGCTCAACAATCCTTCATAGTATTCATCTATTAGCTTAACCAAGAACTTCCGGTTTAGCTCAATCGTCTTCTTGAACCCCAAGAACCTGTATTAGATTTGAATGCATTAGCTGTTGATGAAAGAAACACTACTTTATCTTTAGATTAGAAAAAGTTACAACGAATGATTCACCTGCGATGACCTTCCACGACTTTCGCCATGTTCCCATAATAAGTAGGAACGAATATATCACTTTCGAGAGAGATAAGGTAATCAAGAGCAGCCATTTGAGAAGAATGGTTCTGACAAAAACTCAAATCAGAGGAATCGAGGAGAGTTTCTTTCCTCACCTGCTTTGATCAAAATATTATTGGTTACTGACTTTTGAGTGAAATATTAAGGAATAATTTTAGACACTAAGTACTAACCACATTTGGGAAAACATCTGTTAAAGCCTTTAACCGCCTTTTACCACCGTATATTTCTCCTGCAGCTATGTAAATCTGAACATTACGGTCAATACCCAATGCAGATAGCGTAAGAGCTGTTTCTTCAGGAGTCAATGGGCAAAGACCTTCTTTCCTCTTCAACTCGGAGTCTATTACTTTCTCTTTCCACCACGGATAAGCATATCTAAGCAATGAAATATAACAATAATATCAATATCACGAAAAAAGTCAGAACTTTTAATATTATAAGTAGAGAGTTGTTTTAACCTCATTCTCGTTAGTTCTTCCTCTTCGTAGCGGTTACAACCATGTGAGCAACCAGAAAATGCCAACATATCCATTTCGTATCGGAGATGCAGAACTAGAAACGGACCTTTCTCCCTCAGAATCTTGACTACTCTTCTACCCAATTCCTCAATCTTTGGAGTAAACCTAAGCCCGTTGAAATTTGCTCGGCATCGGAGCTTCTGAATCTCAACAGGCAGTTCGTTATTAGCAAGTCGAGTATCGGTCTTGTTCAGATGTACGACCTTATGCTTCTTCACCAGCGGAAGAATCTGTTTGCAAGGATTTGGTACAAAGAAGCTGTGAGAAACCAATAAAGTAAATTGAAGACTCATCTCATAAAAGACTAAGGTTGAATTCTTGGTGTAACCGAGAAAATAACCTGGTCTTGGTAGTAGGACATGTTGGACCAGCTAATAGGAGGCATAGTGTGGTACATTCCGAGCCTAACCCTTCTCTTAAGCCTTGGAGGAAGCTCTTTGAGTATACGAACCTCATCTCTTAAAGAACTTATGAAGTGATCCACGTCGAATATGTCTTTGAACTCACTGCCCACATGAAAATCCAATCAAGAAAGGTTATCAATTAAGTAAAAGAAGAGATCAGTACTAAGCTCTGAGTGAAATGGATGGCATAAAACCTTGGATCATTCCAAAAGGAGGTCTTGTCAAGCTCTGGCACAATAAGTGTGACATTCATGTATCTTGCAATAGTGACCATATCACATATCTGAAGAAAGAAAACAGAGTCCAAAAGTCACATCAACTTTGAGAAATGCGAAGAGATTTCTGTACGAAAGCAAGAGGATTAGTTCTGAAGTTACCGCTGCTCGCATTTGGTTGAGTCCTCCATTGCAAGAAACCATAAGATAGCCATTGTTCTGATATATCCCTGAGTTGAAGAAAGAGCACGAAAAACATATAAATTCCAGACAAGGCTTAACATTCCCAGATTGTTGCAGCCAAGCTAAATAACCGGAAAGACACTTACTTTTAGGTGGGAGGGCGATTTTCATGGGAAGAGAAGTCATTTGTGCAGCCATCGGTAAATCATGGTGATTGAAACAAGAAGGCCAGCCTTTCAACAATCTAGGTCCCCACATCTCTCCCATAGCAACCAAATGAACAAAGCAACTCCAGAGCAACAATATAGTCATAGCCCGAATCATCCATAAGCTCATACGAGACCTCGAAAGCAAAGAGTTCTTAAACTTGTCAATCTTACTATCACCTAGAAACTTAACCTTCATCTCCCAGAGTTTCCTGTGGTATAGAAACTTGTCCGCTTTACACATTTTCTGAAACTCTCAACAGGGGAATTTCATCAAACAGATTCCAGACTCTTTAAGTCTACAAAGACGAATCAAATCCACAGAGAGTCTTCCGCAGATAAGAACCTCTCTCTCTGATGCACCAATGATTCTAAATTTATTAACACTCAGAAAAATGTAATCTTCACGCAAAAACAGGGAATTCTCTCAGGAACATTTATTACTCCTCGAAAAAATCCAGATTCTCGCTCAAGTCAACCACAAATTTCGCCGCTTAATAATCAAATTAAACAAAAAAAAATCAAAGACAAGAACCTTCCATATCCGACAACTCTAAACCATCACACAGCAAAACCCAGAAATCAGATAGATCCTTAATTCGATGTAGATAGACTTGGAAGCTAAACTCTCTAAATTACAATGCAATGACGATCCTTTAGACCAACTAAGCAAAATTGAAGAAGAAAAAAAGGAGGAAGCTTTGGAGAATGCTTGTTTAGTTTGTTTACGAGAGATTCTTCGTCCAGATCCGGTCGGTGATCACCAAAGACTCCGGAAGCTCGCAGAGAGAAATTGGGAAGAAAGAAGAAGATCAGGACAAGAATGTGCAAAAAATCAATATGACAAATGGTAGTCTCTTTTTTTTCTGACCGTTTTTGTTAACCTTTTCTGTGTAAGACAGTTGGAAATTGGAACCCATTGTTATAAGTATATACTACTGATAAAATAAATATCTCTAAAAGAAACAAAATCTTTAAAAAAATAACACGGATTTGTTTTTGCCAACTAATTTACATGGATTCGATTAATCAAATTTGATAAATAACAACAAAATACTATATCGATTTGATATTTTTCTTTTAAGAGTTTTGATTCATGAACTAATTAGTCTTAAATTAATGATGAGGAGGATAATCACAATACTTACATCCATTACAAATATTATTTTTTTAAATGTTGTTTTATATGTCAGTCTTTAGTAAGTAGTAACGATATTTGATGCGAGTTGACACAAACTATTTCTTAATCAAATAAATAACCAAATACCAACACAATACTTACATCCATTACAAATATTATTTTTTTAAATGTCGTTTTCCTTTTCACAAGTTAAATTTGATTTAAAAAGAGTCAACCTTTGAAGTTTGTTTGACCAAATCGTTTATTAATTAACTATATATTCTAATCACCAAACCCTTTTTTTTGAATTTTAGTAGTAGTATTTATTAGGAAGTTAACTAACATATAATTTCCGCTATAGCTAAACCACATCAATAACTCTTGTCTCAACCATTTAATTTCTTCACTAAATTGAACGAGAGAAGTAGTTCATCGCCAAACTTAAATTTAACGCAAAAACAGAAAAAACAAACTAATGTTTATTAATCTAAATATCCATAGGTAGGTAGGGGTGTCAAAATGGGAATACCCATGGGTTACCCGAACCCGCCCATGGTTTTAGTGGGTTTGGATAGAATTTTTTTACCCATATATATAAATGGGTTTTAGTGGGTTACCCTATTAAGGTTATGGGTTTAATGGGTAAAACCCATTATGGTCATGGGTTACCCATGGGTTTTATAACCAAAACTAAAAAGTAAAATTTATATATATATCTATATTAATATATTATGTAAAATATCTATATATATGGTTTTAAGATTATTTTTTCTTTTTTATTTGGTTTTATGGTTCTTTGGATTTTTGGTTTTAAGATTTTAGGATGCTTTTCTATTTTAATATCTAGATTTTTTAATTTATTATTTAAAAACTTTTGTTGGTTTACAATTTTATGTTATTTTTTTGGATTTTTATTATTTATATATTTTATTATACATATATATGGGTACTCATATAACCCATTAAGCCAATGGATTTCTACAATAATGGGTTTGGGTATGTAAATTTAACTCATATAAATATATGGGTCGGGTCAAACCCGTCCATTAAACACTCGAACCCATATGGGTTTGGGTCGGGTCGGGTTACCCATTTTGACACCCCTATAGGTAGGCCTGGACAAAATACCCGGAACCGAATACCCGAACCGAAAAACCCGAACAATACCCGAACCGAACCCGAACCCGATTTTTAAAAATACCCGAATGGGTCCTAACCTCCTACCCGAAAAAAAACCTGAACCGAACCCGAACCGAATCCAATACCCGAATGTACCCGAATACAAATATACACCTAAAAATATTAGTTATTGTTATATTTATAATACCCGAAATACCTAAAATTACAATCATAAATCCGAATATATTAGGTATTTTAGATATTTTTGGTTATATTTGGGTAAAGAGTAACCAATGTATTTTCGAGAAATCAGGTATTTTGGTTAGATTTGGGTATATATGAGTTAAAAACCCGAACCCGACCCAAACCCGAAAATATTCTAGGTATTTTTGGTTATTTTCGGGTATTTTGCTTTTTTATTAAAATACCCGAACCGACCCGAACCCGAACCGAACCCGAACCGAATTTTTAGAATACCCGAATGGGTCTTGACCCCCTACCCGAATAGACTCGATACCCGAAAAAAAAGAACCGAACCCGAACGGATACCCGAATGCCCAGGCCTATCCATAGGTATATGAGTATATCAATTTTTTTATGTAGATCAGTGATTACGGAATTAGTAAACATATTACATAACATACCTTTGTTTGTTTGTTGAAATATGTGAACCAATAAAAATTCACAAGATTATTGAGTAAAAGAAAAGTAACTGAAGTAGTGAAGTTTATATATGTATTTAACAAGGTCAAATATATACTAATTTCGATAATGTAAGGAACTAATGTTTTGTTGTTCGTTTTATATATTAGTATTGAAAGTAATTAGATGTTAGAAATCATTATTTTGGCTATACACGTACATAAGCAACGAATATGCTGAAACCACTAATTTAGCAAACGTACACAAAACTATGAAACGAATACATACAGGCAATTTCTAGTTTTGTGGATCTCTCTCGTTGATAGCCATGGACAGATTTTTTCGACAGATTATTAACTAGGTAGGTCCATGATATGTTACTAACTCACTATATTCTAAAATAAAATATTTAAAAGTAAAAATATGAAAAAAGAACAAATAAATATATGTTTTCTAATATGTTTTCTATTACTCCCTCCATTTCGTTTTACTTGTCGTTTTAATTTTGTTTCATATTACTTGTCGTTTTATATTTACAATGCAAATTTTATGACAGATTTTCCAGTTTTAACCCTACTTTTTGAGCTTATTAATTACATATATCAAACAAAATAATGTATTAATTAGGGGTAAAACAATAATTTTAATCGTTTTCTTAATTTATGTGAAATAATCTAGAACGACAAGTAATATGAAACGGAGGGAGTAGTAAAGAACAAAGATAAATAGAATTTGGTACCTTAGTTTCATTTGAAGCATCGTATAATGTCACATAACATTTGTAGCACATCAGTTTTAAAAATTATATTTTTATTTATCAAGAAGACAAATTAATTAAATGAAATTAATATCCAACTAAATTACCTGCATGGACGAATCCATTTTTTTTTTTTTTTTGGATGGTCGAATCCTTTCATTCATGCAATATGGGGTGGGGGATAAGAATCCATCAAATCCAAATAGTTTAAACCCAAATAGTCTTACTTCACGTGAGCTATTTACTTTATAACATATGTTTTACCTATAGCAGATTTCATATTGTGGACAAAAAAACAGAAACAGAAATTAATTCTAAAACATATGGGTCTAAATGGTAATCGAGAAATCTGGCTGAATCCGGCTGAATTGCTGAATCTGGCTGAATTTTTAGTGGTTTTTAGCTGAATCTGGCTGAATTTTAACATTTTCAAATGGTAACCGCTGCATCTAGCTGAATTTTTTTGTGTTTTTCAGCAGAATCTGTCGAAATAATTAAGCCTTTAACTGAAATATGGTCAAATAATTACGAATATTAATAGAATAACTAAGGAAAAATATCTAAATAAAATAGATAAAATTATCTAATAGTCTAATTAACTCTTATACCAATAAATAAATACTAGAATTAGTATATTTTTAGCAAAATTGAGTTGTTCTTCCAAATCTAATTTTTGAACTATTAAAAAGATATAATTAATTAATAGAAAGCTTTGTCAAAGTTTTATTGAAAAATTAATTTAAAAATAAACATGATAATATAGTATAGATTATCTTATTGATTTTTCATTGTTCTCTAGTAGTTTAAATCCTTAATATGATTAGGATGATTAACAATTTTTTTTTTAATTTGATATTTTAAATATTATTTTAGCATAAGTATGAGTTATTTTTGCAAAAATTTGGAAAATTATATTTAAGTATCTAAAATTTATTAAAATTCTCAATAGATATCTGAACATAAATATGTCTCTTGTCTATTCTGGTAATGATTTTATGTGTATGAATTATTCATATATCGTATTTGTATGATCTAACTTATTTTAAAATATAAATTTGATGTGTAATTTTTAATAGCCAAAAATATTTTAATTCGAGTTGTGAATCGGTATAATCCAAATTTTATCTGAAATGAACATAATATGTATCTGTTGATGTTAGAAAAACTGTTGAATCTGGCTGAATTCAGCTGAATTTAGTTTTATACAAATAGTAACTGCGGAATTGCTGAATCTGGCTGAATATTTTTTTCATGTTACCATTTACACTCATAGTTAATATGAGAATTGAGTAAATTCACGAAACGAGGATAAAAGACAAAGGCCCGTGACCTGGCGAGTTGCTTGGTTTGTTTGTATTCTACTATCTTCTCAAGTCACAATTTTTAGAAATGTCACATGTGTGTGCATATAAGTATACACACATATATACTGACATACATATGTAGATTGCTAATGTGTATATATAGAAAAAAATCATTATGTACTATCTCAACCAAATTTAGGAGATTATTTTTACCAAAAAAAAGAAGTTAAGAAATTATCTTAGAAATTAAAAGAAAGTAAACAGAAAACACATTAATTTCTAAAAACCATGAGTACAAATTGAATTAAAAATTGATGTTGTCGACTGAAAACGATTCTTTATTTGTTTTGTTTCGTGAGTGATAAAGAATTTATGATTGATTAGTTTGTGGTTAGAGGTCCTAGAAAAGGGCTCTTAATATGCAAGGCCCCGACAACGAAATTGATGTTTCAAGTCTCATTATATATAGTATTGTGATGAATGAAATGATTTTTCGTTTAAAAATTAAAACTATAAATTTTCAACGGTTATATAATACAGGATTTTGACATTTTCTAGTCCACGACATCAAAATCTATTTAAAATTTGAAATCACAAAGAATATTAACCATTGAAAAAGTTGCCATTTGTTTTGTTTGTTTGTTTGTTTTTTTTACTATCTCCCCATTGTTTTAAGTGGGATCATATAGGTCTCAGTTATATATATGTATATATCGTTAATCTAATGAACACTGAAACAATAGATATGAAAATTAAATTGCGACATATTAAACACTATAATGGAATAATATTAAAGTGATAAATAAAATTAAAAGTTAATTTAAATAGTTACATTGAATTTTATTATAACTAGTCGCAGATGAACTTCATACACATGGCAAAAAATCACGTTTGCAAAATGTAGAAACACAATGTAAATGTTATAAACTTCATACACATGGCAAAAAATCACGTTTGAAAACGTAATATAACATTTCACA